CAGTCCCTGGTACCGAGATGGGGAACCTGGATTAGAGCTCAGGCAACAGGACTTAGCTTCTCTGAAGGAGAAGACAGGTTTGGGGGGACATAAAGAAGAGGAGGTGCTCTGGGGGGAGGTGATGAGCTGAATCTCAGAGGGGGAGGCAGGAGCTGCAGCAGTGGTCTGGTCCACAGACCCGGGGCCTGAGACGCTCAAGTACTGATTGGCTTCTATTTCTCCAACTGGAAACTTATCAGTTGCAATGATGATCACATCTTTCCCTTTGGCCTTACAAGCTTCAAGTAACAACTTCAGGACCACCCGCTCCCCGGCCATGACGGCGTGGACCAGTGCAGACCTGCCAGACTGGTCCTCCAGGTTAATGTCCGCTCCACCGTCCAGGAGCAGAGACACCACCTCGGGCCCGGCCCGCTCCCTGCAGGCGTGCATCAGCGCCGTCAGCCCCTCCTTGTCTTGGATGTTGGGGTCCGCTCCTTTCTCCAGCAGGAACTGCACCAGTTTGACTCGGCTGGCGCTCTGAGCGTCACAGTGCTGGGTCCTGCAGGCCACCATCAGGGGCGTTTGGCCCTGGCTGTCACTCTCGTTGATGTATGAGCCTCCCTCCAGGAGCAGGCGGGTTAATCGGAGGCGACGCAGGAAGACGGCTCTGAGAAGAGGGTTACCAGAGTCCATTGGTGCTGCAGACGTACAGACCTTTTCTTCCATCGCTCTGTGTTGACTGTGGGAGGCCTGGGTTAGATGTTTGATGTGGTAGGACAGCTTTCTGAGAAAAAAAAATCACAGAAAAAGGGTTATGCAGACCATCTCTGACCCTGTCCATCCTGGTCACTCCCAGTGAAGCTCTCAGCATCTTCATCTCCTCCTCCTCCACCTCCAACTCAGTCTTTGGTCTGTTAGACACAGACACTGTCTCTGAACCACACATCACAGCTGCTCTGTTTTGCACTACTCTTTCCATTAGTGACAAGGTTTTATTTTTTCCCTCTAATGACGTACTTAAAGAACGATGTTTGTCCTCTCCTGATGCCGTGGTAAATGGTGCTGTCCTGTTATTTTCATCACATTTTCTTATCATTTGAAAGTGTTCTCGTTGATGCTCTGGACTTATTTCATGTTCGGAGTGAGAATCAGAAAACGGTCTTTTGTTCAGTCTTAAATGAGAGGCGACGGCTGGAAGGAGCCTCGTCACTTCCCTGTCAGTGTTGTGAACCTGAGCCACTCTCCTGTCACTGTGAATGATTTCTGTTTGATCAGATTGTGTTTATAGGGGCAGTTGATGTGTTTTTTATCTACTTTTACTTTGATTTTCACTCCTGACTGTCCACGTCACCCTGGACTAACAACACCATACTGTCTAAAACAATCTCAACCCTTTGACATCTACACTACACTATATAACACACTGTATATTCAGTGACATCATTCACACTGACAGACACACATGAACAGTTTACAGCAGGGATGTCCACACTTTATTGCCTCAGAATCTACTGTTTGAATGACCAGGCCAAGGTGATCTACCTACACTGAAAACATTACGTATTTACTCATATAAATGGAACATACTTTCTATATTCTATTTGTACATCTATGTTGGGATACTGATTAAATGTATGGATATTTTCATCATAATATTCCATCATAGTATGAAAATGTTTCTCCCTACACTGACGCAGAGACAGTGTTGGCTGTTGATCTAAGTCTCAGGTTCTCCACTTGCTTATATAATACAGAGAGATTCCATTCAACGGTTCCTGTGTCCGTCCTCTGCAGCACCAACCGGTGCTTCGTACTGTTTTGTCCTTGGTTCTCTATCAGAGAGCAGATGAAGTGTCTCTTATTAATGTCTGAGACAGCAGCACCACATTCTCCTGCATGAGTCACACGTTGCACCAACATTTACATTGTGATAAGGAAAAAAACGTAATCACAGTAATTTATTATATATATATTTTTAAAAAACAGTTTGTTTTATCTTGATTTAGTCCTAGAAAAAATCAATCATCAACATTTTTGGCATAATTTTCCTCAGAGAAATGAAGGTTGATTACTGTCCTCTTGTTTTGATTATTAATACTTTTGTAATATATGTATAAAACCTGTATAAAAAAACAAATCTTTAAATATTACATAAATATTTGGAATTTTTTAATGATCCATCATCATCATCGTAGAAGTGACTCCAGTTAAGGTTTTACAGTACAGAGGGTTCTAGGTTTACGACCAACTCAACCTACGCTTTCAAGTTCCAACAAACGGCTGAACTTCCAGTTACTTCACTGCTAAGAACTGAACTTTGCCATAAGTCGAGGACATCCTGTATTAGAATCAGAAATGCTAACTTCCAAACTGCTGTACTAGAAATCCTGTAGCTAGCAGAAAAAACGTCGACAATCTCAGAAAAGAATAGTGTTTTGTTTTTTGTTTTTTTCTTAACACCACCTTCGATTGTCTGCCTGTGGTCTCTGGTGTCAGATGCCATGCACCGTCACAGCCTGGTCTGTGGTGTCATCTGTTCAGACGACACTTTGCTCATTTATGATGAAATCCCTTATTTTCCTAAACACTCTTTTTGTAAAGCTCATGACATTCGTCTTCATTTTTCATTTTAAAAACCACACTTTTTGCTACAGCCGCTACAGAGAAGAAGACATTTTTCATCATCTGTATATTGGAGCCGGTTGAATAACTGATGGCTACATTACCGCCATCATGTGGTACGAAAGCCGCATTGCAGCTGAGTTTCTCATAACATATCTCTGGTGTCTTCAGTTGTGTGTCCGTGTGTGGACATTTCCATGTCGCCACGAGAAAAGAGAGTATTTTATTTTATTTTTTTGTTGGAATAGAGAAAAGAGAGTATTTTATTTTATTTTATTGTTATTGGAATATGGAGTTTGGAGTTTGGGGACTAGGAATAGAGCTGGGTTAGAGTAGGGATTAAGATTACACATACAGCATATTTGTAATTCTGAAGGTTAGGGAATTAGGGAATGTAATATTTATGTGAAGTCTTCACATGAAAACCATGATTATGTTGAGGTGAGGGTTAGTCATTATCACCGTGACCTCATAAGAACAGTATGGCTGTGAAAACATACGATTAACACCGGACACGTTTATCAAATGAAGTCGTTGACTCTTTAGTTATAATCTAGTCATTTCTGACAAATTGGTCAAATAGAAACGAGGACAGTCAAAAAAACAAACTGCAGTAAATGTCTTCTAATGCATCACTTACCAGTCTCCAGATCAGTCCTTGGATGCAGATGTTTTTGTTCTAGTTGCCGAGCTTCGACCTGATGTCCTCTCTGTCCACACACCGCTTAAAAAAGTGTCCCTGTGTGTATGTGCTGGCAAATCAAAGACGCTCCAGCAGCCAAGGTCTCTTCGATCATATGCATGTAAAAAATATATTATATGGAGAGTGTTGCAGCAGCAGCAGCAGCAGCAGCAGCAGCAGCAGCAAGGCTCAGGAGAGTTAGTGAGAGAGACCAGGAAAGGTTCCCAGAAATGAAGGTGTACGTTGAGGCACTATAGCAACCTGTTACCACAGCACGTCCGACTTGTTATTCTCTAATAAAAGGAACTCTGATTCAGCACAAGTCCATTAACGCTACCACTACATCACAGCAGTTTCCTTTAGCTGTGAGAAGAAAAGAAAATTATTTTGTACCTTATCAATGGCATCTCCATGACAACCATCAAGGAGGCCGAATGACGGTGCATGTTGTAATTGGGCTGCAAGAATTGTTCTTTGTGTGTGTGTGTGTGGGTGTGTGCATGCACCTGTTGGAGGACAAGAGTCTGTGGATACACTGTACTGAACAACTGTAGAAATGAAGGAATGAGTCAAGGGAGAAATTCAATGTGAAATCCAGTTTCTTACTAGTACTGATTCAAATTCCCTTTAGGAATCCTGTGTTCCTCCACATAACTATAATGCCCTATTGCAGGGGTTCCCAAGCCCTGGTCTGTGGACAGGTACCGGTCCATGGGTCATTTGGTACCAGGCCGCAGTGAATGAATTAATAACTTCATTTAAAGAGAATCTGGTTATTACTCTAATATTACTCTCCTGGTAACAACAGGCAGATTAGAATAGTGAGCAGGAAAGTGAGTTGCTGCCACCTAGTGACTGGAGGCTTGTTATCATTCAAGCATTACAGCAGTGGTACACCTATGTCCAGTGTGCCATATTCCATTGGAAGCTCGTCACGCCCACCCCACTATTTGAAAAGTACTGTATTAAAGGGACAATTCATATTTTTTTGGGTTCCATTCAGAGTGTATATATTGAGATCACTCTGGTGCCCTCTGACCTCTGTGTATTACCTGTCTGCCCTCAGTAAAGGTCATCCAGTCATCCCTGTCTCCTGCCTCTTTATGCTACAATCAGTTCCCGCCCACAACCAAGTCTTTTAATGGGTTAAAAACACATTCTAAAGAACTAAAGAGCAACAAAACAGCACACACCTGCCTGTACTTTCACACTCAATGACTTTGTGTTGTGGAGCACATCATCTGAATGTTATAAATAAATACTTCTGCTTTTGTCACTCACCCAAACAGATCAAATCGATTATCTACTGAACATGCCGATATTCCTGACAGCATTATTAAATGTTGTCTCATCATTGTGATGATAAAAAGTCATACTGCATTAAACAACTTTTATATTTTACCAGTATTTTATTTTATTTTATTTGTTTGCACATATATTTATTTTCTAAAAGTGTTCCTCCAAACCAAAAGGCAAAAAGTTAAAAAATAAATAATGTAAATGTTCAAATTACTTTTGTGTTTTATCAGCAAGTATGACGCATGCGCAACATGAGCATTTTTGGGAAGATTATTGGTGTAAATAAGTCATCTAATAAATAAATAAAAAAAAAAAAAGTTCGAACGATTAATGATTTGAAGAAAAGTCCATTACTGAAAACACCAGTTGGAACCGGACCTGGGTGAAGGAGTTGCGGAGGACTATTTTTGTGTGACACCTTGAAGATTTATGACAGTCGTTTTTTAAACTTCTCTGGATAGCGGCAGACTTTAAAAAAACAAACAAACATATACCTCTAAAAATTCAGTCCATTAAATTGATCTTTATGATTATTATGATTTATTTGTTTTGTTTGGGTTTTTATACGGGGGCGTTCACCCCGTGTTAGACTCAGCAGGTCTGCTGCTGCTGCTGGACCTGTCTCTTTAAGTTGATGCTAAAGCCGATTATCACTGATCTCCGCAATTCAGTCTCCACAATCTGTTCCCTGCATCTATTTTTGTGCTGAAGGCAAAACGATCTTTTCACCGTCACTGTTTTTACTTTACCAGGACTGTCGGCACCACGTGCACCTGTCGAACTGTAATTTTAAAGTTAAGCCTTTTTCTCCAGAAAACCGCCCTAATGGGAAACACGTGCTGTGGGTCTGCACCGAGACCACAACTTTTTATGCCGTGATAAGCCTGGATTACCTTTCCTTGCAAACGCCGATAAAAACGCGCTCTCTTGGAGTGTCTCTCTCTCTTTCTCTCTTCCTCTCTCTCCCTCCCTCTCTCTCTCTCTCTCTCTCTCTCTGTGCGCTCCATCCCAGTGCAGTCAGATCATCCAGGAGACAGGATGCTACGACTCATCTGACCGTTAGAAGTCCGTGAGGTCCTACGATGCAGAAGAGCGTGCGCTACAACGAGGGCCATGCTCTGCATTTGTCGGTGGTTGCGCGTAAAGAAGGCACCAAACGCGGCTTCCTGAGTAAGAAAACCACGGAGAACAGCCGCTGGACGGAGAAGTACTTTGCTCTCTACCAGAACGTTCTCTTCTACTTTGAGAACGAGCAGAGCAGCAGACCCTCGGGCATTTACCTGCTGGAAGGATGCACCTGCGAGCGGGCACCGGCGCCAAAGGTGTCCGCCATCAGCAAGGAGCCCACGGAGAGACAGCAGGTGAGTCCACGGCTCAGTGGTTGGGTGTAAATGTCCCTGACGTGGGGAAAGTACTGCATTAAAAAACATACTTTAGTACAGTAAGAAGAAAATAAACTCATATTCGAGTTGAAATAGGATAAAACGAATGTTCTGAAGTAAATCAGAGCGGACCAACTGACCGTAATTGTTGAAAAACATTAGCTTTGCTAACGGTTTTCATCACGTCAGTACATTTGTAACCCGAACCCACATCTTTTTCCCCCTTAAACGTATACTTTATGGTTTACTAGTTTTAAAAATGTTTTTTTTTTAAATAGTAGAAGTGATTTTCTGTTTTAGTAGAGAAATTAAAACCAGTCAACAGCAGCAACAGTCGCACGTTTGTCACTAATTTGCAACCTAATATACAAATATGTGACAGTTGGAACGGTATATGTTTTAATGTCCTTGTGTACGAGCTGAGAATGCCTCTACATATAACAGAAAAATATAACGGCTTTATTTCTGCTTTTACCGAATTGTGTAAACTTGGACTTCATTCTTGAAAAATTTAACAAAAGTGCCAGTGAAGGCAACTGAGTGTGTAGTGTTGTTCTTCTAGCAGTCTAGGCCTACAGCAACATAACTAGTGGAGAACTGAGGTTTACCTGAAAGTGCCAGTGAAGGCAACTGAGTGTGTGTGCAAGCCCTGCAAGTAGAATTTATCAAAGAAAAAGATTGTTTGAAGTCTGACTATGAAATCCCACGCTGGCTGCTGGTTCCAAACATCACGTCCCCAAGTAGCGCTAAGTGACATTCAGGGGTTCAAATAGAACGTAAGAAGAACGTCTTCCACAGGAACAGTGTTTTACAGTGTTTCTGGTGTATTAGTGGTCCTCATTGTACTGCACATATTTCTTTAACATATTTTTTTCACGGATTGCCATTTAAAGAATGTACATGCATGTTTTAAAACATTAAAAATGAAGTAATTTACACACTGAGTATTTTAGAAAATATTAAAAAAATGAATACAGTAACTAAATAATGTAATGTAGAATTTTACATTAAAAATAAAAGAATAATAATCAAATGCAAGACATTTTAATGACCTAACGTGGAGCAGATGAAGGCTTTGACTAGACAGTCTGTGTAGTTTATGTAAACAACTGAAGACGTTCTGTAAGAGCAGGCTGTTTAAACAGACAGTCATCAAACAAGTTTCAGGATGTCATAATATCAACCCTCAGTTCACTGGCCTTTTTTCTGGGCCAACAATCAAATACTGATCATATAACTTTATGACTTTTAATATTTTAACAGCCTCCTGTCACAAGCCATGATGGAGATCAATGTTTACAGAGACGATCAAACAAGTGATCCAACATCTATGATGTTAAATGAGCTCCTAAGGTTGTGTAAGGTTGACTTTATTGGTGATACTAACCCTAACCCTCAATCCTAATCCTAAGGAACCTAATGATCCTGATATCATTGAATTAAAACAATGGGATTCTTCTTCTGAACTCTTCAGCTTTAGTTGTTTATTTTGATTAAATGCCCTCGATGTAAATAACAGGTATAACAGAACTCGGTTCTCCTGTGTGATTATTGAGATAAAGATACTGATCAGAATAATAAAGGAGTATATTTAAAATCAGACAGAACAAAGACAGAGTTGACTATCAAAGAGTCGGTCTTCAAACAGAGGGACAGATGCTCTCTGATGTTTTGTCTGACTTTAATGCTGCTGTGTCACAAAAGCGTCTGTGTCTTGGACTAACCTGCTGTTGAAAGAGAGTGGACGTCATTAGCTGGACATCTGAGGCTCATCAGGCTGGGTTAGTGTTTGACTCAGCTCCATGTTAAAAGGTCTACCAGGTGTCTCCAACAGAGTGGACATGTTTTTATTATCATATCATCGCTGTTGGTTTGTGTCACCTTTTTTTTTTAAAAATCAGGTTTTTCAAAATAAACTTATCAAAGCAAATGTTATACTTTTAACCAAACTTTAATGGTAACAATTTAAAAATGATTCTAAATCTTGCTTTTCCCAAACCTGTCTTTAGTGTTTGGGCTTCAATAGTGGATTCATCAAAATAGTATTTTATTTCCTGAAATAATAATTATTGTGTCTGTAGGAAGGTCACTGGTTTGATCTCTAGTTGTAACTGTTGATCTGTCTGTATGCAGTTGTCACGTTCTTCCTTTCCTCCCACCAAAAAAAAAAAAACCTCAACAAAAACAGTATAAGTTAGTTCCCCTGGTCTGGTCGTCTGTCCAGGATCTGTCCCTGCCTTCATCTGATGACTGCTGTTATTGGTTTCAGCTTGCCTTGCAAAGGATTAAGTATTAGGAGATGAATAAGGAAGGGTCAGCAAGGTTATCCACAGTAAAACACACTGTACAAATGGTATAATCCTGACTATGAAGCCTTATGAGTAACCAGGGAGACATGTGTATATAAACAGATGTCACGTAGCCGACAGGCTAACAGCTATTGGCACATCAAGATGGAGAGTTGTTTGTTGAGACATTAGATTGTCTCTACTGTACCATCGCATTAAAATATCAATTTTAAACGCAATTTAGATTGTTGTTGTTTTTTTTGTAAAATCCAAGTAAAGTAAAAATCACAGCAGTTTGACTTTAAAATATTCAGTGATTTAATTGTATGAAGTCAAGTATCTGCTGGTACAGTAGGACCAGGCCACACCAGTGACACTATAACTTAAGGACAAAGTGGTTCTAGTCCATCTGTTATGGTTCCTCCAGCTCTATGCAGGTTTGTGACTGGGTCAAGTGTCATTCTCAGTGCAAGGAGCTGTACTGTACAGACTGTGATGGTTATGTAAGTCCTCGCTCCCTTCCCCCATCACACAAACAACCACAAACACACACAGACAACTACACAAGGCAAGCAAACAAGCTCTTAAGCCTCTCTCTTGTCCATGCTAGGAAGTGTCCCGTCAGTGGCGGACTACTCCTTTTATTATAATAAGCATTAAACTATTTCTGTCTCTGTGTTAGTTTGTTCTGAATTAGCTTTGCCTATTAATTATTTTTCCCCACATTAACATGTTGGCAGTATCTTTGTGTTTTTGAACTTTTCAAGAAAAACCTAGGACTCAGGACAAAAAAAGTGTGTTCATATATTTGGTCTCATAATGTCACAAATTGACTCGTGTCTGTAAAATTAATTAATATGTTAACATTCCTGTCCACGACTCCGTACTGTCTTCTGTTTATTCTACTCCCAGCCACATGTTCGTTATGACTGGATCTCTGTCTGGATGATCTGCCTTCTAGCCAACAAACAAAGCTCTGATTGGCCCTCGTCCTTATTTGTTCCTCAGTTGATGAGAACAGCGCTGATTTAACTTTGACCATGCCAAACTAACTTATAGTTATTATATATACATTTATTATTATATACATATAAAAGTAGCAAGATAATCTTTTTTTTTTTTTTTGACAGCACTATTTCCAGGTCATCTTCGGCCATGATGGACAGAAACCATTGGAGCTGCGAACAGAAAAAGAGTCGGAGTGTAATGAGTGGGTGGAGTGCATCCAGCAAGTCGGGTGGGTCAGAGTTTGTAGGATGATTCTTTCTCCCAAACTTAAATGAAATCACAGTTGTTTTTTTTACTGATATAAATCACATACAGAGTAGCAAGGAAATATATATAGAATTTCAGAAATATGTCAAGTCAAATTCCTGAAAATAAAAGCTTGAAGCCTTCATCTGTAAATACACTACTGTGTCTGCTCAGTCACACAAGTACTACTACTGATGTAGGTCACACTAAGTTACATCATCTAGGTCTGACTGTCCGTCCAATCTCATCTCTCTCTACTCCTTTCTCTAAGGGCTTGTCATCTTTTTCCACAACATTTCTGCAGGAAATATATTGCACTGTAAATATGAAATCTGAAAAGCTATCCTTCGTCTGATCCCATGTTCTCTCAACCACAAACTGTGAGCTGTGAAGCTCTGAGCTTTAAAAAGACTTTTTAAATATTTACTGTCCTCCTGCTCCGACCTCTTCGTGCCACCTGCAGCTACTCTGACATTATGGTAGAGCGGGAGATCCTGATGCAGAAGTACATCCACCTCGTCCAGATCCTGGAGACGGAGAAGATCGCAACCACTCAGCTGCGCACACAACTGGAGGACCAGGGGACTGAGATGGAACGGCTCAAAGCTGAAGTACGCATCAGCTCCTGCCAGTACATCCATTCATATACTGTTTATCCTATCTTCTGATGTTTTTTACACAGACATTGTTTATATTGTCTTATTAGATTACAGCGGTGAATAAAACCAGGGAAAGAATGCAGCCTTACCAGAAGAACCAGGAAGAAGAAGACCCAGACATTAAGAAGATCAAAAAGGCAAGGTTTGATCGTTGTAATCTGTGTAATTTAATTAAGTTTTCAGCAATATATGTAACACTTTTTAATATGTTATTTAATTCTAATTTTTATTTTAGAAAACAAATGAATTGAAAATGGACTGAAAAAAAAGTTGCTCCTCAAAACCCTTGTGATGATACTTTTGTGACAGTAAAGGAAAACCATTAAGTTTAATATTGCACAAATGAAGAATTACAATTGTGTAATGATCAAATTAGCAGTGATTATTTGACTTTGAATAAAGGCACATGTGAAGTGTCTGAAGTCCTAACAGCAACTTGAAGCTAAAATACTGACGTGTGTTGTGCTTTGGCGGCGTAGGTGCAGAGTTTCCTACGTGGCTGGCTGTGTCGTAGGAAGTGGAAGATCATTGTTCAGGACTACATCTGCTCGCCTCACGCTGAGAGCATGAGGAAGAGAAACCAGATTGTCTTCAACATGGTGGAGATGGAGACAGAGTATGTCCACCAACTGTCAATCCTGGTGAACTGTTTCCTCAGGCCACTGCGCATGGCTGCCAGCTCCAAGAAACCGCCCATCAGTCATGATGATGTCAGCAGCATCTTCCTCAACAGGTGAAAAGATCTCCTTTCACAGTCAAAGTTTTTTGACTGTCTAAGTGTTGTGTTTGTAGGCTGCACAGTGGTGTCACATTATTTCAGGCTTGGTGAAGCTGAGCCTCAGCAGGGTTTAATACACTCTGCTGCTAATTTTAAATAACATTGTCACATCTGGCACAGCTGGCTGTACACAGTCGATGTTTATAATGTGTTCATACTGTAGACAACAGAACTATGATAATCTAGATTATACTCCAAATTGTCTAAGACTGCTTCTCTTCTTCTAGTGAGACCATCATGTTTCTGCATGAGATCTTCCATCAAGGTCTGAAGGCTCGTATCGCCAACTGGCCTACTCTGGTTCTGGGTGAGTACATGTTGTTTAAATGGCTGAGACTCCACTCCTAGTGGTTTCTGTCACTCTGCTCTACATTTCACCTTCTATGTATCCACCGGTTCTTTTCCATTTTTCGTCACACTATATATCTTACCTTGCTTTTTGGGGTTATTTTGTTTTTGTTATTTATGGTTTATGGTAAATGAGAACAAATGAAGAATTTTCATTGACTATCCTGATAAAGGAGTCCCTCCTTCCCTCTGCCTCTGAATTATTTCAAAGTGGCATAATTTTTAACCAAATTAATCTAACGCTTTTCACCAAATTCAGGAAGGAGATGAGTAGAAAATGGCTTTGATCAAGTATCCTTTAGACACACCAAAGAGCCTGCACGCTTTCAGTGGTTGTAAAAAAACACACCGAGAGACGGATTCAACAAATATTTTCCTTTCTGTCTGTGATATTTTATATTTTTCTTTGGTTCAAAGAGAATCACGTTTACCCTGTTCAAACGACTATGTTGTGAGTGTGAGTTTCACCCAGTTATTTGTTTCTGTTCCTCTTGTCTGTCACACTCTCAGCTGACCTGTTCGACATCCTGCTGCCGATGCTGAACATTTACCAGGAGTTTGTTCGTAACCATCAGTACAGTCTACAGGTGCTGGCTAACTGTAAACAGAACAGAGACTTTGACAAGCTGCTCAAACAGTACGAGTCCAACGCTGCCTGTGAGGGCCGCATGTTGGAGACGTTCCTCACTTACCCCATGTCTCAGGTATTCCCCAATGAGAGAGGTTTTTTTTATATAGTTATGAGCATTTATGTACATTAGAAAAAAGTTGAAAGCAGTAAGTAGGTTGAGAAACAAAAATATGAAACCTATGAGAATTTATTTCAAATGTAAAAATGTTTATTTGAACAGTAAATGGTAAAAATGGTGAGTTAACGTGTTGAAAAAATTTAATATAATTCTGCCTTAGTTCTGAAAACTAAGCAACATTTTATTTTGTTTTCCTTGCCTGCCACACTTGTATACTCTTTGAGCATATGTAAAAAAAAAAAGTTGCTATTTCAGATCCCCCGCTACATCATCACACTCCATGAGCTGCTGGCACACACACCTCATGAGCACGTGGAATACAAGAGTCTGGAGTTTGCTAAATCCAAACTGGAGGAGCTGTCAAAGTATGTGTGTCCATCATCTGATCTGCATGAATCGATGATAATAGTGACGGTGAAGTCACTGTAATAACAATGTTCCATATGATTTTCCATCAGGATGATGCATGATGAAGTGAGCGACACAGAGAATATAAGGCAGAACCTTGCCATAGAGAGGATGATAGTTGAAGGCTGTGACATTCTGTTGGACACCAGTCAAACCTTTGTCAGACAAGGTGAGCAGATTCCACCACAACATCTGTCTCTGCTTTCAATCAACTCTGTTTTAGATGTACTGCTGACTCTCTGCCCTTCATCACCACCCCCACCCCCCACTCCCAGGCTCTCTCATCCAGCTGCCATCCAGCAGTGAGCGAGGCGTGCTCAGTAAAGTCCGTCTGGGATCTCTCTCACTGAGGAAGGAAGGAGAGAGACAGTGCTTCCTGTTTACCAAACACTTGCTCATTTGCACTCGAGCTTCTGGAGGAAAGCTTCACTTGTTAAAGGTCGGCCTCATCTGTCCAGGTGTTCACATGTACATTTGATTGACAGGTGGTTTTTGATAGCATTATAATCTTATTCACATGAGTGTACTAATTCACAAAGTATTTGGATAAGCTGGTGTTTTCCCTGTTTAATATAATTTTACATATTATACTTAAAGAAAAAAAATATACATATATATAAATGATCTATTCTGATGGATCTGTTTCCATTGCCAACAGCAAGCAGGAACTCTGTCTCTGATAGAGTGTACTCTTATTGAAGAACTAGATGCCAATGACGAGGACTGTGAGTATTTTCTTTTTTGAATTATGGGCTGCCATAACATTTCTCCCTGTTTTGGGTCCAGGTTTGTTAATTGTGATGTGGATCATGTGTTTGTGTCGACAGACAACGCAGCAGGTCAGGGCTTCAACCACCTGCAGTTCAAGGTTATGGTGGAGCCTCCTGACAGTCAGGCCTTCTCTGTTGCTCTGTTGGCTCCTTCTCGACAGGAAAAAGCTGCGTGGACCAGTGACATCAGCCAGGTACTCTGAAGTACCAAAGTAGTGTTTTAAAGAAGTAGCTTCAGAGTAGCTACTGCTTAAATATTTATAAATTTATATCAAAAATGTGTTTGTTTTATGCTGGATGTAAAACCGAGTCTCTGTTCTGTCTCAGTGCATTGATAATATCAGATGTAATGGCCTGATGAGCAGTGTGTTTGAGGAGAACTCCAAGGTTTCTGTGCCACACATGATCAAGTAAGAACACAATGACAAATCACTTTCACGTTAATACAATATCAGATTATTTCACTTTTTTTATCCAAGAAATAATAACTTTCTTAAGACTTTTTTATGTTGATGAAATAAGAAAACCAGAGATGTACAGTAGGTCTCACTAGGTTAAAGTCAACCACCATCACCTATTTGACGGTGGCGGTCATTTTAACAAAATGGAGGACTATTTTAACAGTCCTCCATTTTAAATTAATAAGTTCATCTAAATGTTTGTCTGCACTAAGACAACATGTCGACAGAAAAGCCAAATGTATGAAAAAAACAATAAAAAATTAAACCATAGTTAGCTTTCACGATAATGAAGCTAACGTGACTCAGACGTCTGGAGGCCTTCTGATCAGTGTACAGTAAAAACCCCAGTGTATTCATTGATCAACTGATTAGCCTGTATCACAGAACATTATTGGACCAATAAAATTAAACACTTAAACAGTCATGTAGATATATCAGGCAGGAGAAGGAGAGAAACATTCTTAGTTTAACTTGTTTTTTTTTTTGTTCCTCTCCTATAGGTCGGATGCTCGTCTGCACAAGGACGACGTTGACATTAGCTTCAGCAAAACTCTCAACTCCTGCAAAGTCCCCCAAATCCGATATGCTAGTGTGGAGCGTCTGCTGGAGCGGCTCACAGACCTGCGCTTCCTCTCTATAGATTTCCTCAACACCTTTCTCCACACATACAGGATCTTCACCACGGCTGCTGTGGTCATAGACAAGTTGGCTGACATCTATAAGAAGCCTTTTACCTCCATACCTGTCAGGTAAGAGTCAGTGCCTGACACTGATGTGTGGTTGTTTGAAGTACTTACAGAATTAATTACATCATTAAAATAAAGAGATTGTTTAGGCTTCATTCGTGATAATATCCAGATGAATACAGTACACCGGTGTCATGGAGAACTGTTTCTCTTTACCATGATGTGAGTGAGTACCAAAGGAAATATAACAGAGTATACTGTGCATTTATAGTCATTTTTGATCAACTGCAGTCAAAATTTTAATTGAATTATTTACACAACCATCGGTGAAGGTACTTCAAAATTTTGCTTTAAGCCTCTTCTTGTTTTCAAAGGGTCAACTGAATGTCACTGAAGCTCAAAATCAGTGCAAAATTGAATCAGTCATCATCACTCTTCAAACAACAGCATTAAGATATTGATTTAATGTGACGTTTCGTTCGTTCTCATCGTCCATCCTGTGTTCGCAGCTTCTCACTGTACATTTCATCACTCGTTTTTGTCTGTTATTTTCTCCTCTTCATCCACACCCTCCTCCTCCTCCTTCAATCTGTCACCCACCGTACTCCCGTCACAATCCCAGGATTGAGCAGCATTCATGTGACCGTCTGTCCGTCATGTCCCTCTGTCCTGACTACAGTCTGAAGATCACGCAGCTTGCTTTGGACCAGTCCAAGTAAACACCCCAGGACTGGTTGTCCGCTTTTACCAACTTCTGCGAGTGAAGGAACACCGTGGTGTTACTGTCTTTCTCTCTCCATCAGGTCTCTGGAGCTCTTCTTTGCCACCAACCAGGGCGCATGGGGAACCGACCCTCTTAACACAAAGTCTCCGAGGCTCTGTCGAAAATTTTCCTCTCCTCCTCCCTTAGTCATCCCGTCACGCACCTCCTCCCCGGTCCACAACCGAAAGCTGTCACTCGGGGCCAAAGCTGGGGCCTTGGACCTGTCCACGACACCTTGTTCTTCTACGGCCAACTCTCCTACTTCCATCCACAGCCCATGCCTTTCCTCTCCTCCTCCAAACTCAACCAGATCACCCTCTGCTTTAACTTCTCCTCCACCCTTCCCCAGCCTCCCACAGGCCTCTGGGTTGTCGTCTCCACCCCACTCCAACACGAAGGCCCCTCTGGACTTCAACTTCGGCCCCAGCTCCTCAGAGTTAACTCCATCCACAGGGGAGGTCAGCGGGGAACTGCCTCGCATCGATGCCATTTGTGGAAAGCTGAAACGAAGCATTCGCAGGGGTGAGTACTATCTCTAATTTTAACACAGGCTGCCACAGGAGGCACCATTAAGTATGTGCTCCTGCTACAACAGAATGGTGTGGTTCCATAGTGTAGCAGCGGTTAGCTCCTCTGCCTTGAAAGCAAAGATCAGAGACTCCTGGCTACCTTTGCTGGTGCGTAAACCAAAAGGTTAGCTCAAGGAAATGGACTTTAAGCCTTCGGACTCTTAGTTGGAGGTGACAAATGTTTACATCAGCAGTTTTACACTGGTTCTAGTCCTCTGATTGCTGTTGGGCGCCTGCGTCCTGTGTGAATTTATGCAGACTTCACATCTTAACTTGTCTTTTGCCTCTCTGTGCCTCCAGCTGTCTTGGAGACAGTATCTCTGGACAAGTTCATACCTGAATCACCTTCCAGCAGTGAACCAGGGGATGTGTCTCCCTGTCGATCACCGTCCACGCCCAGGCATCCCCGCTACCGACACACCGGAGGTCAAGCACTGACACATGCAAGTACACTGGTACTTCTTTTATCCTTATATGGTGCTTTAATGCTTTCATTATTGATTTACAGTGACACCAGGAGAGAACTCACGATGTACCATGTCTCCTGCCTCTGCATTTGCCATCGCCACAGCTGCTGCAGGACACAGTGGCTCCCATGGTAACAAAGCTGCCACAAAAGGCTAAACGTGTTCTTAAAAATGTTATCCCTTAATCACTCTTCCCATCAAGTCTTTGGTTTTAGCAAATCAAGCTAAACAAAAGAGAAGTGGGAGACGACCACAGTGAATGAAGCTGACCTTCATATGTCTCTAACATTACAGCCTTTTCTTTTGTCCAACCAAAGCCCCCTTGTTTTTCATTAATGTCAACGTGATGATTAAGAATACTAATCATTATTAGCTCCACACAGTAATGCTGATGTAGAAAGATAAACACAAATGCAGAACAATGTAATAAGAACTGCATCCAGAGGTTTTTGTTTTCTTCTAATCTTATTTTAAATCCATGTTTTCTTGTCTAATTTATATAGTTGAGAGGGTGTCTTTCCCCTCATCCCACATTGGCCACAGGAGGCAGCCTTGTCTCAATGCTCTACCTGACAATTATAATGTCGAACTTTAAAGATGAACATTAAGATAGTATGATCAGGTAATAATGTTGCTGATCCTACCTTTGACTGCTTCAGTATTTTTTTTCCCAGGTTTAAATAATTACGATAAAACCTGCGACAAGGAGTTCCTCATCCGTCGAGCTGCAACCAACAGAGTTCTCAACGTGCTGCGACACTGGGTGTCCAAACACTCGCAAGTGAGTTCACAACTTCCATGATTTGTCATCACCGAGACAACTTGACAATTGGAATTTGAATAGTGGTTGAAAAGTTAAAGACATGTACGTGTCAATGGAGGCCCTCAGTTTTAATGTGTGGTCATATATGGTTATGGTTATGTGAGACAGATGTGTTTTCTGTGCATCAGGACTTTGATATGAACAGGGAGCTGAAGTCTGGGGTGATGAGCCTCCTGGAGGAGATGCTACGAGATCCAGACCTGCTGCCACAAGAGAGGAAAGCAACCACTAACATAATAAGGTAACCATTCATCCATGAGAACTGTAACGAGTATATACAATAATTACATGTCATGCCATTCATAGTTACAAGGGGATATACCTGGTACTACACACACTGCAGGAGCTTTAAATATTGTCTAAAGGCCAAGTGTCTGTGTAGGTAATAATTTCTACATTTGATGATGACGGATTTTTAAAACCGACCGATGTTCTGTCTTCAGTGCCCTTTCTCAAGAAGATCAGGATGATGTTCAACTAAAGATGGAGGATATCTCACAGACGGTCTGTATCACCAGATTTATTTATCGTCATAAATAACATTTTTTTTCTAATATACAAAATAACATAGTTTTAAAAATCTTTTGTCTCCTGAAGATGGAACAGAAAGGCTTCCCTCTGCTCCGTTTCATTGTGGTACGAATTTCTGCTGAGCTTGCCAAAAATAGAGATTGTGGGATAGGGTCATTCTACAAAGTGATATTCTCTTTTGTTTCACATTAAGGTACACGGCATTTCTGTGTGTGTTTTAGGCAGAGAGTCATAGAGCAGAGTGTTTTGAGTCTCTGTCAGCGATGGAACTGGCTGAACAGATCACACTGTTGGATCACCTTGTGTTCAGGAGTATTCCCTACGAGTGAGAACCTTGACCACATCATTGTCTCTGTCCACATGGAACAGTAGCAGTCGTCAGACAGGGGCAGTGGTCACCTGTCACATGTCCATCACAGTCACAATCACATTGACACATGGTCAATCCACAGTTAACAACCAACTAGTCCTCCGCGTTTTCCACATGCTTCATTTGAATGTTTAAAGTTCTGAAAACTCTTTACTAGAAAGTTGGCTCTGGATCCAGTCAGTGTTCTGTTGAATGTGTTTGCTGCAGGGAATTTCTGGGACAGCGCTGGATGAAGATCGACAAAGCAGAGAGGACGCCGTACATCATGAAGACCAGCCAGCATTTTAATGATGTAAGGTTCGATTCCCCTGCCTCATACCTTTAATGTTTGGTTGAAGAAGGTTATTTTTAAGAATTCCTCCCTGTTACCTAAACCCCAACATAGATTAACAATAATTCAAAAATGACATATAGATTATTAATGAAGTCTGACCCATGTGACCAACTTTTAAATTTTGTTTTCTATTTTTTCACAGTGACAAATGTTTTTATTGAGTTTGAACAAGCTTACTGTAGATAATGCGTTGGTTCATAACAAAACCTGATCGACTCTACCATCAGTGAGCATTGACACATCACATATACACATGTTATATATACATTTTCAACTTTCCCTTCTTGAAGTAAGACTTAAAAATACAAAAGCATAACACATTGATGAAATAGACGCTCATATTTCTGAGAATAATCTCTTTACCTCTACAGTGTAGATTACGTATAAACTCAGGTTCAGTTCAGGTTAGTAAAAAAACAACCACAAAAACTATTTTTTTTCCAACAGTAGAGTGGCTGACTCCCTGCATTCATAAAAACACGTGTCTTGAGAAATAAACATAAAACATTACTATTAAATTAAGGTATTTTTAATGTGGCAGTTAATTCTGTTTCCTCCTGACAGATGAGTAACCTGGTGGCATCTCAGATCATGGCACAAACAGACCTAGGCTCCAGAGCCAGCTCCATTGAGAAGTGGTTGGCGGTGGCAGATATCTGTCGCTGCCTCAACAACTACAACGGTGTGCTGGAGATCACCTCTGCCCTCAACCGCAGTGCCATCTACAGGCTGAAGAAGACCTGGGCCAAAGTCTGCAAACAGGTTTATTTCTAGGTTTAAATCCAAAATGAAATAAGAAATATGAAATATATAACATCTGGCTGTGTACTTACAAATGGACTTCATCTCCCGTGTATTTAAACCTGTATGTTTTGCAGACAAAGTCTCTCATGGACCGGCTCCAGAAAACAGTGTCATCAGAGGGAAGGTTCAAGAATCTCCGAGAGACGCTGAAAAAGTAAATACTGCTCTGTGTTCTGAGTACACACATTTCATCAGTGTTCTTACTGCCTAATATTTGCCATATGTGTGTTTGTAGCTGTAACCCTCCATGTGTGCCGTACCTGGGCATGTACCTCACTGACCTGGCTTTCATTGAAGAAGGAACACCCAACTTCACAGAGCAGGGCCTGGTCAACTTTTCCAAGATGAGGATGGTAACATCTCCACCATTCACCCCTCTGTTATTCATTCAACACACTGAAGAACATGACTGTGCAGAACTCACTGTTTGATGCAAGACTCAAACTATATTACAACATATTCATGTTTTTTATATTCATATCAGTTAACCGATATCATTGGCAGATATTAGTATAATTATTAATATTGTGGTTTTTCCTTTGATAATGAAAACCCCATAATGCAATGACTGATGTCACCTGAATAGTTTTGAAGCGGAAGTGAATTATTGTTATTGTCAAATGTTTCTTCTGCCTTTGACCCAAACGGCTCCATATATCGGTATCTGTTGATATCGGAATCAGAAATGAAGTTTTAAGTTTGTTTAGACAATGTCAGCATATCAAATATCTCAGAAGTGTCAACAAAAATACTTTGAAGAGACACTTGACAAAATCTCCCTTTTCCCTCTTCATAAATTACATCTGTCATTGATCAGATTTCACACATCATCCGAGAGATCCGTCAGTTCCAGCAGGGACCCTACAGAATAGAACACCAACCCAAGGTCAGTCCAGTCTGGTTGTCTGTGAATTGTTTCTGTAGAATGAAGCGTTCCTGTTTCACCTGTTCCATTCTAATCCTACCTCCAGGTGACTCAGTTCCTTCTGGACAAGACACTGGTAATGGATGAGGATGTCCTCTATGAACTGTCTCTGAAGACTGAACCCAGAGTGTCCCCGTGTTGAAGCCAACTCATCCTCCCATCATCATAGATGTCTTTATGTCCTTTTTTATCTGTGAGTACGTAGTGATACAACACTGCCCTCATCTGTTTACATTTTTACTGTGCATTTAGAGTTTTTGGATTGTATCATAGTATTTTCTGTTGGAATTTACTTTGTTCTATTTTGTCTCTACAAGTTGCTCTACAGCAGGGATTTTATGTTGAGTCTCTAATGACCAGATAAGACTGTGTCAGACCACTGCCATAACTGTATCATACAGTAATACTGCAGTTGAAAGTACTGCATAAACCAACATACCATAAAAAACATGCTGCTGTTACGACTCTCACATCAGCTTTTATACTGTAGCTCAGGGCTGGGGAATTAATTCATGATTTTCCTAGGGGAAATAAGCCACAAACACATCATGTTTATTATTATTGATACAGTATATCAAAATCCTAAATATGAGGAATGTTTAAATATACACCTCGTCCTGTCCAGCTGAAATGTCTTCAACCCATATTGTTACAGTTTCCCTGGAGAGGGACAAGAACACACACTATCAGTAAATGACATAATAGTTGCCTTCAAAATAAAAGCCTTGCAGTTGTATTCTTTGCACATATCACAGTGCAATAGGTGGTGTAGTTACACATTATTATGACTTTTAATTTAATAACAGTCTCACATATGCTGGTCAGAGATGGTCTGTTGTGGCCCACGGGCCGTATAATGCCCTCTTTATAACCAGCAGTCTTCTCAAAGAAACCGTTGGCAGGTCACAGTGAGCTGTGTCCTCAGGAGGTTACATTTCAGTTGGAGAATTCTTTCTTGGTAGAAAATCTTTAACCACTTTTTGTATGTAATAAAAATTTATTAATAATTAATATTTTTAAATTTAACAGGAAGTTTAACAATAATGACCATAACAGATGTAAACCCATGTTTACGCAGCTCTGGAAAATCAAAGTTGAGAAAACAATTTAAAAAAAAAATATTGATAGCAGTGAATTTAAATGTGGGCTTATTTGAACCCATTGTCAGCTGTGATGTGTGGGTTTTAATGGAAGGCCTGGAGGCCGATCTGGGTTGAAAGAAAAAACTGGGCTTAAACTTAATTTAACCTTTTTATTTTTTATGTCAAACCCCAACTTTCACACTTTTACAATTTTCATTTACATTTGTTTTCACTGTAATTATCGGTGTCTTGTTTTTTTATATTTACTTACATACGTCCCTAAATATTTTTTATTAGTGAACTTTTTATGTCTCTGCACTGGTCATTTCTGATAAATGTGTGTATATGTTAAAGCTGTGTTTCCCAACCTTTTGAGCCAAAAACGTATGTAATGACTCAATTTACTCACAATCGACTCAGTGTGAGACTTAGGCCTGTTTAGTTGAACAAGGTACTGATATACTCTCAGGAATTAAAGAAAGAAACTTCAGTTTCATTTATAATTGTTTAGTGAGTAACTGTCACAATGACAAAGACAAATGATTTCAAGTAAATAGATAATCGTTTGCAGACAAATTAACACACTCCTGTGCCACGGGAACCACTGCTCTAAACCTGTGTTGCTTGGTTGGTTGACTTATAAAATAGGTCACGTTCTTATGTTTTCTACATATTACTGTTATTAAGTTAAAAGACTGTTACTTACTTGTGTCTAGGTTTGATATTATTAGTAGTATTTCTTTGTACTACTCCAGGTCTCAGAGATATTTGGCACTGATTACTGTATAAGACAACCTCTTTCTGACGTGCTGTATTTGTCAATATTCTGACTTTGTTGCTCTCATTATATTTTATATTTCTCTAATGCTCAGATGCTCATTCTTTAAAATAAAAGATGGGAATTGAACGGCAAGCTTGGGAACGTGAATCTGTGTACCACTTCACTCTCACCTGTTACTGGCATCAAACTTATACAGACAACACACTGAGAAAACTCAAGGCACACCGTCAACTGTTCAACTGTGAGCTTCAAGCTCATGAATTCATCTGAAACTCTATTCATGTCCAAAATGCTATTTTCACTCTGGTTTTTCAAGAGTGTCCTGGTTGCATGTCTTTTTGGTGTAACAGCTTGAACCTCCAGTGTTCTTCCCTTCCATCTGCTCTAATGAACTCACAACCTCTCTCCATCATGTCTGCTAGCTCTCCACCTTCAGCAGTCAGTCATTCTCCCCTCCGCTCTGACCTCACTGACACTGCTGCTTTTCCTGTTCTCTCTGCCTCCTGACACTGAAATCTTCCAACCCTAATCCAACATGCTACAACATGCTAAATGCTAATTTATACCTTTGCATAAAGAAAATATATATATAAAGCATATTCATGTTTTTGGAAATATCATTCTTACTTGACATTTGACATAGATTTAAAAAGTGTGATTTATTTTTGTGTTATTGTGATTGAATTTGGTGGTTTTGGTGTGGTGTGTTCAGAGGTCACAGGGTCACCAGGGGGAGATGAACCATGTGGTTTGATAGTGGGGTTCTGCAGTGTGGCTGCAACTAAAAACTATCTGGAACTATCAAGGTCAAACTGCAGACTGACATCAGACACTTGGTCTTCATCAGTGCTCAGCATGAGCCAAAGTAGCTCATGTCGGCACCACTCTATTGGTTTACACCAGTGTGCATGTGATCCCATGATTGGCCCCTTGGTTTTTAATCCCACATGGGTGGGTGGAGCCCCTTGACCCGGTGAAAAGCTCTTCTACGGGGGACATTCAGCAAGAAGGAAGAGCAACGTTTTTCCAGGTACCGTACCTTCTTGTCTCTTGTCTCTTGTGCAGATACGTCCTCTTTAGCTCTCAGTAGTTATAAGCACATCTCCGGTTTCAAAATCTATTTGTTGTTTTATTTGAAAAATATTGAATTAAGATGATTTTTCATTTAATTTCTTTATGCAGTTATTTATGATGTGGGTTTTAACTGATGGTGTTGACTTTTTTCTGATGTTTGAAAAATAATGTCACATATTTTCTCATTGGTTATTTACATTGGTAACTTGTATTAGCCTGTCTTTTAAAGAGGGCTAAGGTGGTCTTAAGACCTGTCTGGTACCTAACACCTCTGATCCTAAGTCGAGGGACGAGGAGAGGCCTCGTCTGTGGTCTAATCCTCACTATAAGACCATGTGATTCACAGTGTCAGTTTGCAGTTAAGTCTTTACACCCAGAAAGAAGAACGGATGCTGATTCCTGACACGTCATTTATTTTTATTCCTAATGATCCTATTACTCCGCTCTTGCTTTTTTAAAATACATTTGTGTCCCATTCCATGTCCTCTATATGTCCCCATGTCTGTTTCCATTGCTGTGTCCAGCTGAACTGACCACATGAAGGTCTGGTCTTGTGACCAGTTCCTGAATGTCACTGAGAGCGGGGCCAGAGACAGCTTGGTTCTTGGCATTGAACCCTGGCAGCACAACTGCTCCAGTCACCTATAAATAACATCACCACTGCACTGACCCAACCAGTGTCCAGTTCTAAAGCTGCACAGAGTTCACGGGAAAAGAATGAGGGATGTAAATGAAAAAACAAAGCCACACTCAGAATTGGTTTGAGTTTTTCATCTTGAGTCAACAACAAGAGAACTGATTGGCTACTGTGGACCAATGATGAGGATTAACAGGAGTGAGGGTGTGTCCACGGATTCTCCTGTTTGTCCTCTCACCTGCCTCTGTGTGTGGACGACCAGCTGGAAAAATGACCAGTGCTTCTCTTAATCTCAAATTATAATCTAATTTTCCCCATCGGTTCTGTCTCAGCTGTCCTTTTGTAAAGTTAGCAGTTTAAGTTAGCAGTTTAAGTTAGCAGTTAGCAGGAATCATCTAGAACGGGTTTTATAGTAAACCTCTCAGGTCGTGGACTGTGGTAGCGCTGAAAGGCTGAGAACGTCTGGTCTCTGCGCTTTAATCTTGTTACTGTACTGAACTAAAAGCTGTTTAGTTGCAGTGTGAGGTGGGGGAGGGGGCGATGACGGTGTGATTCGTTACCTTCAGAACGTCTTGAACCTTAAATTCTCAGTCTCTGGTTAAAGTTAGGATGAATGTATTATACAGTATATGAATGATGAATAGGTTAAAAAGTATATATTTTTTCTCCTTTTCCTTCCAGATCATTTGACTGACAGAGTGCACGACAAGATGGCAAGCTCCTTCACACGTTTGATCTCTGGACGGAACTCAGCTGTGCTGCTGGCCAGCCTAGGTGTGGGGACAATCGCATCTGGATACTTGTTGAGTGAAAACAGCTCTCTAGTCGCCGACGCCAAGAACAAGCTTTATCCTCCAAGGTAAGACGGGATAATCAGAGGGAGTGTTTGAAAATGTTAGTAGAAAGAGAGAACCCTAAGATCCTGAGATGTAAGGAATCACATCAGAGATGTTTCACCTGCACAGTCAGTGTAAATGCTGTAACAGCCACGATAGGAGGTTTGGATGCGACTCAGGTGAAGCGAACATAGCGTAGTCTGTGTGTGAGGCCAGGTGAATGAAGTTAAAAAAAATTGAATTTTTCAGGCGGCATCACGTCCCGACATCCAGTCAACAATGACTTTATCACAGTAAGCAGAGAAGTTTGTGAACAATGGGGGAGGAGCTTGTCATCATTGTTGGCACCAACACTGCTGCTATGTTTTATCAGGACTGGAATAAAAAAAAAGAAGAGACATGAGCTAAAGTTACCCAGGAGGTGGCGTCATACAATCATTTTAATATTTTAGCTTTTTGTGTGAACGCAGCTTTAGGAGAACGTACGATTCTGAGTACAGTGCTGCAGTTCTGCTCTCAAATCAAAACGTCTACTTTATATTTGTTTCTCTGAAGTGCCGACTACCCAGACCTGAGGAAACACAACAACTGCATGGCCTCAGCTCTGACCCCAGCTGTTTATGGCAGACTGAGGGACAAGGTCACCCCCAACAACTGGACCCTGGACCAGTGCATCCAAACTGGAGTGGACAACCCGGGTCACCCTTTTATCAAGACTGTGGGCTGTGTGGCTGGTGACGAGGAGAGCTACGAGGTGAGAGGAAGTTAGAAGTGAAAATGTGTGAGAAGTAAAGTGTGTATCAGCCTCCTGACCTCAGCTCCTTCTCTCCTCGACTTCATGTTCTTTTCCCCACAGGTGTTCGCCGACCTGTTTGATCCTGTGATCATCGACAGGCACAACGGCTACGACCCCAGAACCATGAAACACCCCACTGATCTGGACGCCTCCAAGGTGAGGCCAGGAAAACACCTCCGTTCTCGCTCCACAGTCTCTCTCAGAACCGTTCTAACGTCTGATCATTTTTCTGAATTGAATTCCTCTAGATAACCAACGGCGTTTTTGATGACAACTACGTCCTTTCATCCCGTGTCCGCACCGGCCGCAGCATCCGTGGACTGAGCCTCCCACCGGCCTGCTCGAGGGCTGAGCGACGGGAAGTGGAGCACGTGGTTGTGAAGGCCCTGGGTGGGCTGAAGGACGACCTGGCTGGACGCTATTACAGCCTCGGGGAGATGACGGAGAAGGAGCAGCAGCAGCTGATCGACGTGAGTCTTTAGAAACGTCCAACCGTTTACTGTTGTGTTTGAGAAGACGACTCTAATCCTGGTCGTAACAACAGAAGATTCAGAAGTTTTATTTGTATATAAAGTGTAAGCGGAGTATCTGCTTTGGCTTCTGATCGAACCCCAACAAGTCAAGTCAGTTTTATTTTTATAGCCCAGATTCACAGTAGAGTAGAGTAGCTCCTGTAGGTAAACAAGAGTATTGCACCCAGAAATGAACACCTGAGCATCATTAAAACACTGACTCTGATCTAAGTGAAGTTGGTCTGGGGGAGACCACCGTACAAAAATATTTACAGTTTTATATTAGAAGAAATTTAAATTTAAAATCAATTGAAAATTGTACTTTTTTAACCATTGTATATTTCTTCCATTCAATTCTATAGGTAGTGTAACACTAGATACTAGTACCTGGTACCTAGATCTAGAGAAATAGAGAAGTCATGTAGGCTCATGTCAGCTGACCTCTCTCCTCTGGACATTTCATGCTGTGCGACACAAGGATCACTTCCTGTTTGACAAGCCCGTGTCTCCATTACTCACCTCAGCTTTCATGGCCCGAGACTGGCCTGATGCCAGGGGGATCTGGTAAGGCTGGCATCCAACTGTTAGAGAAGGAACTGTAGCTCGGAGCTTTTCCACCTAGAATAGTCCTGACCTGAACCTCCTGGTCTGTGAAGACTGGTTCTGCTTTTTTCTCTTCTTTCTTTTCCCTCTAAGATTTTCTTTGGTGGAGACGGTGTCACTTATTACATTTACATTTTAATGTAACAGTTTAGTCTTTTTACAATACTTGACGACTGTAAAAAAAAAATAGTCCAAGATAATTAAAAAGAAGATTCCCTAGACTCATCTGGGTCTCAAAATATGGTACACATACCAGCTGTATGTGTATGTAGAACAGTACTGCTGTATTTTAATGATGTTCATACTGGATGTATTTGGAGAGACAAATATTTCTGTTGGTGGTTTGCAGTAAAAAAAAAAGTTTGAGTACTATATACAGAAAGACTTACTGTTAATACGTCAGTGATCAGTGACCGCAGTATTGCTGACTTCCTGTAACCCTCCCACCCTCAGGACCACTTCCTGTTTGACAAGCCTGTCTCTCCACTGCTGACCTGTGCCTTCATGGCCAGAGACTGGCCAGACGCCAGGGGCATCTGGTAGGGGCTGTTCAGCTCTCCTGCTCCTCTGCTGTGGGACTATTAACCATAACCTTTACATCCATGTTGGAGATGAGCTCAAAGCTGAAACAGGAAATCTTTCTGTTTCTAATGTGGATGTTTTAGCAGGTGTTGTACTGGGCTGCAGCAATAACCATGAACAGGAGCTGTTACCCATAGAGTGGGCTTCATCCCATGGTCTGTACAGGCCACGTATTTGACAGTGGGTGGCAGTGTTACAGCCGTCCAATTATAACTGTCGTCCAGAACAGACCTTTGTGCCTCTTCTTTAGGTTCAACCTATGGATCGCAGCTCCTCTGGCGTTGATTTTTTTTAATGATGAATGTATTAGAGTAACACAGTCAAACTGAAATATGGTGAAAAAGCCAACACTTCAAACCAAAGAAGTTGATTTTTTTTTTTTTAACGATCCATTGTTAAATGACTAGGATAGCTTTCCTTTGTTCTGGTAAAATGGTATTGTAAAAGACTATTTGACTTCCTGTCTGATGTTGTTCCTCAGTATGGACCTGAAGACTGTTAGTCGTCGGATTAAATGCATGGCTCTCACAACCGACTGCTAATAATAAACCCTGCACGCTCTGATGGCCCAGTGTGATACTGAGAGTCTGTCACTAACGTTCAGTGATGAGCAGAGAGCTCTTTATTCTTCGACTCTAACTGCGCCTCTCAACAGGCACAACAATGAGAAGACCTTCCTGATCTGGGTGAATGAGGAGGACCACACCAGAGTCATCTCCATGGAGAAGGGAGGAAACATGAAGAGGGTGTTTGAGAGGTTCTGCAGAGGCCTCAAGCAGGTACAGTAGAGTGGAGCACAGAGAGATGAAAAACATATGAGTCAGAGTCAGAGTCAGAGTCACCTAGAAGTAGCCCTAATAAACGAATGGAGAATTCAAACTTCATGAGCGGAGGTACAATTTTCAGCTGAATGGTACACGAGAAAGATTTGAATATGAAAGAAAATGAAAATATATTAACTAAGACTACTTTGGATGATGCAGTTTTATTTTCTTTTGTTTTGTTTTTTCTTCCTCCAGGTTGAACATCTAATCCAGGAGAGAGGCTGGGAATTCATGTGGAACGAACGTCTGGGCTACATACTGACATGTCCCTCCAACCTGGGCACTGGCCTCAGGGCGGGGGTGCACGTACGCCTGCCAAAACTCAGCAAGGTACTGTATTACACATACGCACAGTTCTTCATAGTGAACATAGTTTGTACACACTTGATACTTTGTTCCCAATGAGCAAAAAAAAAACCACGAATTTAACCAGACTTTACTTTGTGTCAACCTTTCTCTTCCTCTCATGGAGCTCATGTTCCACTGCTGCTCATGAAAATGACTGAATTAATGATCGAAGACTTTTGCAGGATCCACGCTTCTCCAAAATCCTGGACAACCTGCGTCTGCAGAAACGCGGCACAGGAGGTGTGGACACGGCTGCCACCGGAGATACCTTTGACATTTCCAACAATGATCGTCTGGGCAAATCTGAGGTGAGTGTGAGCTTCTGAGAAAATCCTTTCTGAATTTCCCACTGTCACAAACACACAGGATCAGGTTAAAACAAAATGACAGGAAGTGGTGTGGAGGACTCGATCAGATACTCAGGATCGGTATCAGTCTGATATTGGTCAAACTTTCAGGAATGAATATCAAAATGATCAACTGTAGCCCATCCGATCCGATACCTTGTCTTGTACGAGGTGATGAACATGTGACCTTTGACCCTTCTCCACCTGCTTTGATCCTTAACATAAAAAGGCAGGAATCTGTAATGACTCGTTTGCTTGTTGTTGTTTTTGGAAGGTGGAGCTGGTCCAGCTGGTGGTTGACGGTGTCAACTACCTGGTTGAATGTGAGAAGAGGCTGGAGAAGAACCAGGACATCAAAGTTCCAGCTCCCATCGCTCAGTTTAGGAAATAAAAAGCTGGGCTGTGAAGTAGCTTAGAAAGATATTTGTCATTTTCTTTCGCCTCCTACAGAGACTACAGATCTTGTGTGTAGCCTTAGCCTTAGCGCTAATCTGCTGTTAGCTAAAACCTCTACCTCAGGTTCATACTGTCATCCTGAATTTCAATAAAGCCAGTATATTACAACAACATCTCTCTTATATAAACACTGCTCTTTGCATTTTCTGTTCGTCCACCTCTGCCCACAGAGCTGGTCCGATGTCGCAGCTGTTCCTCAATGAAATTGTTGATTTCTAAATATCTTTTGTCTTTCAGATACAACATAACCATGACAACTTGAGTAAGGGAAGGTTTCACCTGCGCACTAGAAACATTTATTTATTTATTTTATTTTTTCCCCCATGATCCGTTAGGGTCATCCATTAAAATCCAGTAAATGACAGAAATGAACAAACTGCATGTATAGGAAACACTGCACTAATAGAAGACCGTAGTAGAGTACATGCTTTCAGTGCAGTGTTTTCTAGACCACGTGATAAACTTCAGTCTTGAGACATTACCTGGTCCATCCCATTGAACACTTGAGACTTGACTTAGACTTCACTTGTCTCTCTGTCAGTGTTGTCCTTTTATACCGTCCTGTTGATACAGTTCCATTGTCCACACTTGTTACCTGCTAGTTGACCAAGATCCTCAGATTGTTACAAAGTCCTATCATACTCTGACTGTTGTCATGATGTTTGTGTTGCAGGCATCAATGTCCGACTGTTCCTTGAGATTGATAGGAAATACACTGTTAATGTGTTGTTGGTACTAGTGTTAGCTTTTCCTCAAAGCTAATAAAAAGGAACTGGAGGTTCCTCTGTCATCCACTAGGAGTTGAAAATTATTTAAGTTTTGTTTCTGGCCAGAGTTCCACTTAAAAGCCAACAGTAGCAGGTGTTAAAAAAAATTAAAAGTGAAAGTGAATTATTTGTCATCGTGACACATCACTGCACACAACAAAATGTGACCTGGTTGTGTTTTGTTAAAGGTGAGATACAAATAAAAAAACAAGTCCATATTCTTTTCAGGACATTTTATTCTTCTGTTTAAACAGGTCCAAATAGTTAGCCTCATAATAGTTAACCTCACAGAAACTCATCTGCAAAAATGATCCAGTAGTCGTCACCAAAAACCAACCTGATTTATAGTGAATCTAATGTCAGTAACACTATTGATGGCTGAAGACGGTCAGTCTAACAGAGAGGGAACTATCTTATTTATTAGACATTTTATTTTCATCTCTGTGTATCTTTAAAAAATGTAATGAAATGATTGTTGTTTTTTTATCTAGGAACTTCTGCTGACATGTTGATATTTTTATACATAATAATAATAATAATAACCTGCAGCAAGTGATTTCTGGTGAGTACAGTGCAACTTCAGGGGAAACTCATACAGGAGTACCTGATGACGGCTGTTTAATGATTTTGGACGTAAAACAAACATTAAGATCTTCAAACATTTGCATTTATTGATGTTTACTCTGAAGAGACATTGAGCAATGGAGTAAGCAGAAAAACAATTTGACTATTTCCTTCGTTATACAGTACAGTCCACAGACACGACCTCTGACTAATTAGGTCTTTTCTAAAAAGAACATTTTTTTTTTTTTGCTTTTTTTTTTTCCTCCCCTTTTTTTTGGCAAAGTAAAACAGAAACACAAGTTCTCTATCAGAGAACTGTTGCAGTTCTATAACAATGCAAAAATGCAAAATCAGGGCATCAATGTAGTTTAAAAGACAAGAGCAGCGATTCAGGGTGAACTTTGAACAGAAACCAAAAAGGAGGCCAGGGGCCTTGAGTGTCAGTGTGGTGTCCTTAGTCCACGGGTCGCTTTTCACTGTGTTTTCTCGTAAATTCCTCTGCATTTTTCATAAATTTGCCAGGGTCCTTTGTGTATTCCTCAGCCAGGTCTGCCCTTAAGGGATGTTCAGGTTCAGGACTGTTCACCAGAGCGATGAGATTCTGGATCACTGTGGGACACAGAGGAAAATAGTCACTATATAATAATTTCCCTTTGACAGTAGATTTGTACCTTTATGTTCTGTTAAGCTAGGCCCATGCTATGTCATACTTTCTCTCTTGGTTGCCAATTCTACAATATTTATGCCATCGATACATATAGACTCTTTATACATCCTATTCTAACAGTGGCCTGCAGTGCCACATATAGCACAGACACAACCTCAGTGTGGCCTAGTCAGTGGTCATTTGACAAACATGGAGACAATCTCACAATTGGCAAGCAATCCAAAATTCTTTCACCACAACAGAACATGAATGCCACACTCTCTGCAGAGTAGAAACATGCCATCTACAGCACATCACTTGTCTGTCTAAAAGTCAATCAAATCAATGTACTGTACAGCAACATAAAACTACTAATGAAAATTTGAATTTACCTCTCGTCAATTAGCCATAAAACACTGACCCTACTGACTTTTATGTTTTGAAAATCCTGCCCAACTAACATAACGATGGAATTGTCCTGTTCTAGATACTGAGCTGAATTCTCATTACCCAGAGAAGAAGAGACATGAGGTCATCACAAACTCTGTCACACGTGTTTAGAAGGAGAATGTGAACTCTTTAAAAAAAAAAGAAGAGCTCTTCTAAAGAGCCTCACCTTGACATGTTTTTGTGGCTGGCTTCCAGTTATCCACATTGATGATGGGCAGGCAGACTTGACCTTTTTCATCCACGTTGGGATGGTAGATTTTCGTCTTGAAGGTGATCTTGGGTGGCTTAAAAGGGTACTCAACAGGGTAAATGATTTCAATTTTAAATGCTCCTTTGTCATATGGAGGGGAATCCTGGGTTGAAAAAAAAAACAAACAAAACAAAACTCTTGTTACGTGTTGTTCTTCACCCTCCAACTTCCACTGTCTGTTGTCCAAATGGACATCACAGTTTTACAGTTTTATAGATCATAGTCTTACAGACCAGAGCTAAAGCTAATTAGCCCTTGAAAAGAACATTTTTATACTTACAGGAACAAGGAGCCCTTGCCAGGTGAAGATATCTGATTCATCTACGTGAATGATGCGGAAAAATTTCACCCCAGAATTACGGATATCGGCGAGTTCCTGTAAAAACGACCACAATGGAAGTTGATGTGTATAGTATTTATATCAATGGCATTTATATCAACTAAGAACAGCACACACAGGTAAACTGTTAAGGCACGTTAAGGCTATAAACTAAAGTGTCTGACGTCCAATGGAAGAAGATGTTTGTATGTGTCTAGTAGAAGACACATCAGCCAAATAAGATGGAAGGGGAAAAGCTAACAATGTTCATTGTAAATTTATTTAATTTAATGACCCTTATCCAAATGTACTGTACCTACTGTCATGTAATAAGTAATTCGAAACAGAATGTTAGGTTTGGAGCCAAAACAATAAACTGATTACTACATAACTGACCAGTAAAAAAACCCAAAAAAACCATGTTGCTGAATTTGAGTTTTATCAGTCGTGAACACGATTACCATCGTTCATTTGGACCTGTAGTTTGGTTAACTGAACAGAATGAGGATGTTATATACAAGGAAGTAGTTATTTATACTTTCACTTTTACACTTTGTAAAATGAAAACGAAATAGGTTTATAATAAATAAATGTGTAATAATAACCTATTATAATAATATTGCTACTTGTGGCAATGTTGAAGATAAAAGTAGAGTAGGCTAACAGTGATAAAGTGGTTTTAATTTAATGGTCGTGGTGTATCAAAATGATTTGAAAAGTCAATTTGTTGCTTCTGTGTGATTTTATTTATTTATTTTTGTAAAAAGTGGTATTGTTAAGCAGCATTTTAAAACAAAGGAGCATGTTGTACTAATATTTGTTTCTTATCAGACTAGAAGGAGCGTGAATACAGGTTTTTCTACTTCCTCGGTGGTATTTCGAGGAGTTCCCGAGGACGTGACAAAATACTTCACTGACAATGTTAACTCTGAACATTCACACATAAGATCATCAAATCCACAGGCGTTTGTGCCACAGTGAAAGTGAAAGGACTGTAGAGACTGTATAGCGGTGTAGCCACAGATTGTTTCAACTTTCTTTAGTCCAATTCAAGTGTAAAAGTTTTTTAACCCTTCACAACTATGAACATTTTTATCAACCTTAAATTCCCAACACTTAGGAAAATATGTGTAAAAATTCGGGTAGTTTTATTTCAATATTTATTTAAACGTGTTTTAGGTGACGTTATTATTTCGCCGAAACCATAATAGCACCAACCGTAATAAATCCCTGACTGTATTTATTAGACAGACTGTACACACTAAACAACAAAGATCGAATTTTTACATGACAAAGGAGAACGACGGTCCTTGTATAAAGATATTTAAGTGAAACGACGGCAGTAAAAGCCTTCTAATGTCACGCCCCAGCCCTGAAGTCTCCATGTTTCCGACATCACATAACCGTCCAGTGACAGCAGAATCAGTCGACTGTTCCAATGTCTCACTCTTCATATATCGAGACAAAGTGCGGCTGAATGTGGCAGCTGCGGGGTTTATGCTGAATCACTCCGCGCCGGAGCCTTCACCTAACTAACTACTTATATCTCCGTCATCGTCTGTCGGACGTCGCTACGGTTTCGTTTTTATCTGTAACATAAACCAAATCACGATTTACCTAATCCGACAAGCCTTTTCTAGTACATGAGCAACCAACGTAAATAGTTTAAACCCTCTAGGTAGGATTAATCAAATATAATATATATATATTCTACCTTGTTTAACCTCCTGGTCGCAGTCATTGTGGCTCCGTTCTCGTCTCCTTCCTGTTTCTTTCCCTTCTCTACTTCTATTGATTTGGGGTGTTGAAAAGGACTGCGCGCTGTGGTCGCAATGCTGCCCCCTATTTCTTCTTCTTTTCTGTCTTATGGTAGGTTGCACCAGCTTTTCAAGTCCATTGCCACCACCTCCTGTGCTGGAGTGTTACCCAGAGTCAACCACCCCCTCGTGTACATAAATAAATAAATAAAAATGATAAAAACCACTTCTACTCTCATACTATTTATAATATATTACACTATTACCCATTACGGTACAGTATTTATATTATATTTATAGCTACTATTTAAC